GTTTTTGCTAGGAGCAATTCTATGATGCACCAAGTGGCTAAGGGTACCAGGCTTGGTGTTTAAAGACTGTACAGACTAGAACCTGGTGATGGAAAGATAACAGATAAGTTAACATATGAGAGAATCATGGGCACAAACAAAAATAATCATGGCTTGGTATTACTAGATTTTCTTTGTTTCATAACACATATTTTGAATTTGTCTAGTCAAATTACTTAACAAAAGTGTGTGTGTGTGTGTGTGTGTGTGTGTGTGTGTGTGTGTGTATATATATATATAAACTTAAAATAAGATTTCTAATCAATGGTTTTCTTGATTTGACAAGTAGAAATCTCTGCCCATCACCTGCCCCCAACATTACAAAGCCACAAGAAGAGAACACCGATCCTTCCAGAATCCGGCGGCTGACTATTTAGTGAGATTTCTTAAGGTGCGTGTCTTAATTTATTCTTAAAGTGTTAGTTCACCCACAAATGGAAATTCTGTCATTAATTACTCACCCTCATGTCGTTCCAAACATGAGCGTTTTTCGATGTTCACAACACAAACGAAGATATTTTTAATGAAATCTGAGAGCTTCGTGCCCCTCCATTGACAATCTACGCAACTACCACTTTCAAGCCCCAGACAAAAGTACATCATTAAAGTACTCCATGCGACTCCAGTGGTTTAACATAAATGTTTATTAAACTATGCAAGTGCTGTGTTTGCAGCAAAAACACATTTACCAATTTATTAAATATTTATTTCCAACATGCGTTCATGAGAACATTACAACTCGTGCATGTTGTTGATGTGCATGTATGTGCATTGAAGAGGAATATTTTGTAAATAAAGTTGAGTTAAAATTGTGAAATTTATGTTACACCACTAGAGTCACATGGATTACTTTTGATTTCCTTTATACCTTTCCGTGGCTTTGGAAGTGGTGGTTGAATAGGCTTTAGATGAATGGACAGAAATCTCTTATATTTCATTAAAAATATCTTCATTAAAGGGACTGTTCACCCAAAAATGTAAATTCTGTCAGTATTTACTCACCTTCATGTTGTTCCAGCCCTGTAAGACTTTCGTTCATCTTCTGAACACAAATTAAGATATTTTTGATTAAATCTGAGCTATCTCACTCCTCCATAGGCTTCTAAGGGATCAAAACTTGCCAGCCCAGAAAGTTATTAAAGATATTGTTAAAATAGTCCAAGTGATTACAGAAGCGCAATCATAAGTTTATCAAGCAACGAGAATACTTTGTGTGCCAAAAACAAACAGAAATTACGACTTTATTTAACTATGCATGCTTCTCTGTGGGCCTTGAGATGGTTCTCGTAGTGTAACAGTGCTTCAGTGTTGTACGTCACACACAGGCTCACTATTGGCCGACGCTGGTTGTGTGTGTGTGTGTGACGTACAACACAGAAGCGCTGCACTGTTACACTGTTAACTTGCTCAGGCCCACGCAGAAGAAAATGAATAGTTAATTTTAATATTTTTAGTTTGGTTTTTTTTTGCATACAAAAAGTATTTTTGTCACTTGATAAACTTAAGGTTGAGCCACTGTAGTCACTCTGTCTATTTTTACAATGTCTTTAATAACTTTTCTTGGCTGCCAAGTTTCAATCCCTTAGAAGGCTATGGAGGAGTGAGATAGCTCAGATTTAATCAAAAATATCTTAATTTGTGTCCTGAAGATGAAGGAAATTCTTACGGGGTTGGAACAACATGAGGGTGAATAATTAGTCAGAATTTTCATTTTTGGGTGAACTAACCCTTTAAGTGTTTCGAAGATGAGCAAAACTCTTACTGGTTTGGAACAACATGAGGGTGAATAATTAATGACAGAATTACATTTTTTTTATTAATTAAATCTTCGATTTACTTGGAAATCAGTAAATTCAAGTCTTAATCAAACAAAAATGTTTTTTTGTTTGAGTCGATGATTGAACTTTTTTTCACCCTAAACTTGCTGTATTTATGAAACACAAATGTGTAAATGATCTGGTTTTGTGTTCTAGGTACCCAGTACTACACGATTTTTCACTAAAGTTGGATCTGCACAGCCTTTTCTGCTCTGTGAAACAACTGCACTGAACTTTACTGTTAGCGACTGGATACAGCTGATCCACTCATATCCTGCTACTGTTTTTCATCTGCTGAATGTTTTTGACTCAAGCACTGCTGTACTGTTGCAAAGTCAAAGGTACTGAATTAACTTCACTGACACAGGACTCACATTCACTGATATGTTCAGGACTTAAGTATTAAACACCATTTGATCACATCATATAATTCTGATGACAGAAATCCATATATTGTGCATTCATCGTTTATTTAAAAAATTAACCTATAATGTAAACGTGCTTGTTCGTTAATAAAAAAAATAGTTTGTTTGAAACAACTGTTTACATTTTGCCTTTATTTTTAACTTTACAGTGAACAGAATTCTACTATGATCCCAGACTTTTTGGATTGTTTTGAAATAAAGTTTTTTAAGAGTAATAAAGAGTGATGTGTTTATTTCAAAGTGAAATTATTCTTTTAAATAATAAGATGGTATTGCATTGGAGAGTTGTCTTATTCAATTGTATGTTTGAAAATTTTTAATTTTAATAAATGTTAAAATAAATTCATAGTAACTTGGTTTTTGGAAAAATATCTTCGGGTTTAAAAGTTTAATTTTTTTAAACTTCATCTGCATTACCATTTTAAAATAAGTATACATTATAAACAATAATCAACATAAAAAAATACACTGGAGTTGTGTGATTAAACACCATAAAGTGTTAAATGTGTATATTTAAGAGTAATAATTTCTAACACCTTGAGTGATTAAATGAAACACTAACACAGTGTTTAAAAAATAAACACTATCGTCAGTGTTGTTTTAACACTAGCAAAGATGGACCTGTATGTTCACCCGGAAAGTGATAATTTTAACACCCATGGTGACAAATCTCCTGACATTTTTTTGCTGTGTTATGGAAATTATTAGTGTTACCCATTAAACAATGTGTTGCTTTTTAAAAATACAATGAATATTATCTCCACATCTTAACCCTCTACAGCATAGCGTTGCCCTCAGGCAACAGAAAGTTTTCTTAAGCCCTATGTTCAGTAAAATTTTTTTTAAATGATTGCAACCAATTAGAAAGTTTGAAAAAGTATCAAAGAACAGTCCAATAAGGTTTGGGAGTCACCATCAAGCACCATTTGAAGGTGGGAAGTCCTTTTCTGGCACATGGTCACAGGAGCACATGTTATGAGTTGAAAGCAAGATTATGTGCTTTAGTGATCTTCTTTAAAATGACATTAACTGTATATAAAAAATATGTGTGTCTGTATGAAGGTGTAGAAAAGCCTTCTGGCAGGTTTTATTATGTTTTTTTTATTTTGCATGTTCACAAATTCAGTTTTTCTTTTTGTTGCCTCAAGGCAACGTTGTGCGATAAGGGGTACTTTTCAAGGAGGTTTTTAACAATACTTTACAATGGCAAATAATGTGTTACACGAAGGAAAGATGCAGGGTTCCTGGGTACAAACGAACACCCGAAGTCACCAAAGTGACACTGTTCCCACAAAGTTGGGAGCATGACATTGTCCAAAATGTCTTGGTATGCTGAAGCATTAGGAGTTGCTTTCACTGGACCTAAGGGGCCAAACTCAACCCCTGAAAAACAACCCCGCACCATAATCCCCCCTCCACAAAATTTTACACTTGTCACAATGCAGTCAGGCAAGAAACGTTCTCCTGGCAACCGCCAAACCCAGACTCGTCCATGAGATCGGCAGACAGAGACACGTGATTCATCACTCAGAGAACACGTCTCCACTGCTCTAAAGTCCAGTGGCGGCGTGCTTTATACCACTGCACCCAACGGTTTGCATTGCACTTGTTGATGTAAGGCTTGGATGCAGGTGCTCGGCCATGGAAACCCATTCCATGATGCTTTCTACGCACTGGTGTTCAGCTAATCTGAAGGCCACATGAAGTTTGGAGGTCTGTAGCTATTGACACTGGAGAAAGTTGGCGACTTCTGTGCACCTCAGCATGCGCTAACCCCGCTCTGGGTTGCTGTTGTTCCCAATTGCTTCCACTTTGTTATAATACCACTAACAGTGACCGTGGAACATTTAGTAGTGAGGAAATTTCATAGGTGGCAACCTACCACAGTACCATGCTGAATTCCAGAGTGACCCATTCTTTCACAGATGTTTGTTGAATCGTCTGCATGCCTACAGTAGCTGCTTTATTTTACAGAACTGTGGCCATGGAAGTGATTGGAACATCTGAATTCAATGATTTGAAGGGGTGTCCCAAAACTTTTGGCAATACAGTTTATATGGGGATGATTAGGATACATAAAGTACATGATGCATGACGACGCACTACATGATGCAAACCTATGTCTCTATCAAATCAAATATATTGATGAGTTTCAAGTGTTTTTCCCTTTTTACTTAAATTATTTCTTGACATTTTTGGAGAAAAAAAATGATTTTTGTATTGCTCTCTAAGAGTTGTATAATGACAATTTTCTCTGTGATTCTTTACCATTGTTGCGCAACGTTGCCCTTGGGCAACAAAAAAATATTTTGGGGTGGGGGGGTCAGGGGAGGGGAATTTTTCAATAAATCAATAAAATGTTCCTAAATGAGCCAAGAAATGATGTGGAATATTTTTTTTCCATGTGCCATCAAAATGCATGCAGTAGAGGGTTAATGAGTTATATAGCTTGTACAATTTCATTAAAGTTTGTTTAAAGACTGACTCCTCAGATGATTAATGTATTTGAGTAAAATATATTTAAATTCAAATATAGTTACCAACAGAATAGTTGCCTATAGTCTTCGGCAAAAATAGTAATAGACTTTTACTTTTGAATGCACATGATGCCTGCCCTGATATCTAAAAGAATTTAAACCTTGATTTTTATTTTATTTTTATCTCACACAGAACACACGCCCATTGTTTAAGGGCTGAGAGAACCAGGAAGTAATTATTGAATTCAAGAGAAATGAAACTTAGACTATTTCGCCTCTAGTGGTTCAGCCTCTGTAATTGATCAACACCGCTGTTCTTTGTGTCAAAAGCTTTATAAGCTTTAACGCAAATCATATTTGAGTTGCATTTCTGTCGAGGTAAGGACTTCATAATGATTATGACTTTATCATGGTTATCTGCTTTTAGAAAGAAATCGCGTACAAATATGTATTTGTGTGGGTGTGTGTGGGTGGGTGTGTTGGCTTCAGAGTTTCTAATCCTGTAACAGGCCTGATGAAACAAAATGTTACTTTGTACTTCATTGCTAAACAATTATTTTTGTATTTTGTTGTCTAATGAAAACAAGTGAGTTAGGCTATTGAATTGAAATACTCGATACCTCACAACTATACTTTTTACACTTTATAATTTAGAAGATTGTTTAAAAATACAAATATTTCTGTGGTGATCATGACTAATAAGACTATTCTGGATAAATACGAGTTAAACTCTATTGACAGCATAGATATAACAGCATAATTTACAGCCTGCAGTTGATCAGCAAAGAACAGAATTTATTTCCCCTCAGTTAAAAAAATGTAAACATTGTGATTAAAATTGTGATTAGGTTTCTCTCAAATACATTTTTGGTTATACTTGGACTTTGTAAAATCTTGGCAGTATTCATACTTTCACTTAAGTAAAAAACAAAAACACAAATAACTGATTTTCTTGGCTAGACAGCCCTTTTTACAGAAGCTGATTATCTGCTCATCTTAAACACTGCAGAGAAATGTCTGCAACTGCAGCGAGTCAGTATGTGGATCAGTTCAGCTGTCCAGTGTGTTTGGATCCTCTGAAGGAGCCGGTGACGATTCCCTGTGGACACAGTTACTGTATGAGCTGTATTACTGACTGCTGGTGCCAGAAGGAGCAGGGGCCGCCGTACCGCTGTCCCCAATGCAGAGAGAGCTTCAGTCAGAGACCTCTACTGAAGAAGAACACTCTGATAGCTGAGATGATGGAGACGCTGCAGAAGACGACGTCTCTACAAACGGCTGCTGTGGAGTGTGATGTTTGCACTACAGAGAAGAACAGAGCTGTAAAGTCCTGTCTGCAGTGCTTGGCCTCCTTCTGTCAAACTCACCTGCAGTCTCACTATCAATCTCCTGCGTTTATGAAGCACAAACTAGTCGAAGCTTCCAGACACATTCAGGAGAACATCTGTCTCAGTCATGGGAAACTACTGGAGATTTACTGCCGGGATGATCGTCAGTGTATCTGTTGTTTGTGTACAGATAATCATATAGGACACAGTGTGGTGTCTGTGGATTCAGAATGGACAAGTAAAAAGGTAATATCAAAAATAATAAAAACATGCATGCACTATTTTATTATAAATATTATATTGCATTTATAGGCTGTAATTTCGATTAACCTTGTTACACACCTTTACCAGACTGGAAAGGTATCTATTTTAGCCATTTATTTATTTATTTATTTTTTTGTATGTTAACACCTTCAGAAAGAGTTAACAGAGATAAAGGTGTCGTGTCAGAAGCTGATCCAGAAGCGAGAGAGAGGTCAGCGGGAACTCAGTGAAGCTGTGAAGTCTTTTAAAGTGAGTATCAGTATGAGGACCAGACGACTGGTTCAATCACAAATACAACAGATGTTTTAAATAGGCAACATTTTCATTTTAATCTTGCCATTTTTATTAGATTAAAAGTATAATCACTTTGGATTTGAACAAGATCTATGACAATTGAATTGGTCACATGTATTTTTTTAAGCTGTTGCTCCATGATCAGATCTTTGTGTCTCCGCCAGAGTTCAGCGCTAGAGAGCATGGAGGACATTGAGAAGGTCTTCACTGAGCTCATCTGCTCTCTGGAGAAGAAACGCTCTGAGATTAAAGAGCAGATCAGAGCTCAGGAGAAGACTGAGATAGATCGAGCAGAGGAACTTCACAAACATCTGGATCAAGAGCTGACAGAACTCAGAAAAACACAAGCAGAGATTGACAAACTTCTGATTAATGATGATCAGGTCCAGTGTCTGAAGGTAATGAAATTTCTTTCATCAGTATACATCATGTTTATATACTCACTAAATAGACTCTTTTACATAACAAGCAGTGCTGTATTTGTCTAATTTCAGAGCTGTCAGTCTGTGTGTGTTTTACCCAAATTCAAAGACGTTCCCAGCTTCACTCAACACACTCATCTGTCTTTTAAAGACATTTCTATCTCAGCATTTAAGGAGGTTTTGGAGGACGTCTGTCAACAACAAACAGCCAGAATATCCAGAGAAGGTCTGTATAATTTTCCTTGGGAAATAAAATGTAATTAATACTATGTGTGATTACACCTCATATTGAGTTTACAGTTGAGTTTTTTTTCTTATCTTTTCAGTGTCAAATGTTCATGTTGCACAGACTCCAGAACCAAAGACTCCAAACACATTTGGACAATGTATTTTGAGCTATTTCTGTAATTGATAGATATTAGTCAAAAAATTGAAAGTGACATTAAAGTTTTAATAATAATAAAAATACTGTTTTCCTCCTCAGATTTCTGTCAATTACAACTGGATCCAAACACAGCACACAAAAAAATCATCTTGTCAGAAGAGAACAGAAAAGCATCACATTCAGTTGAAGAGCAGCAGTATCCTGATCACCCAGAGCGATTTGATTGGTATATTTATGTCTTGTGTCGAGAGGGTTTGTGCGGTCGCTGTTACTGGGAGGTCGAGTGCAGTGGGAACATTTGGGCCGTAGCAGTTTGTTACAGAGGAATTGGACGTAAAGGAAAGAGTGAAGACTGCAGACTGGGGTTTAATAGCAAGTCCTGGAGACTGACCCACTGTGACCAGAATTTTTATGTAATACATCATGATATGCAAGTCCCAATCCCCGCTGTCTGCTCCTCTAGAATAGGAGTGTATCTGGATCACAGAGCAGGAACTCTCTCCTTCTACAGCGTCTCTGACACAATGACTCTCCTTCACAGAGTCCAGACCACTTTCACCGAACCCTTATACCCTGCGTTTTATTCTGGAGCAGGTTCTTCTGTCAGGATAATAGAGCAGAATTAAAAAATGTAATTAAACAATGCATTAAAATCTACATGACTGTATTTGATTGGAAAAAAAAAAAAACAGAACACTTAAAGCCCTTATGTATAATGGATTCTGAAGGTATTCATAATTAATGTTATAATGCATTTTCATAAATAATTGTAACCAAAATTAGAATGCATTATAATACTTGCAGATTCTGAAATTGGTTGTTTGCTGTTTCAATGTATTATACTTTCTAGGTGTAATGTGTGTTTAATAAATAGATAAGTATTATAATATATAAAAACTGTAGTTACAATTGTTAATGAAATTATACTATGCATTACAATGCATAATTACTTTATTAAAAAATACTTTTATAATGCATTATACATTTAAGACTAGAGAAAATGGAAAAATTGGAAGAGAGGGCTACTCTGAGAAAACAAAGAAAATTAACATTTGAACTCTTTCTATATTACCATCCCCATTCCAGACACGATCACACTTGAGTTGATCATCTCCCAATTTACTTCTCCCACCCATACCTGAATTCACCCCAAGATATATATGGTTTAATATAAACAATTATCATACAGTATTATACATTTTTGGTATCATTTGAAAATGTCTCAGGGTGACTGGTACAAAGGTCTTCTTCCCGAAGAAGTAAACCAAAAAGGTGATGTGTGGAGAGTCTAAAGATGTGGTTTTGACCCCATGTAAACCAACTTCTGTCCCCAGTGAGCCTGGGACGGTGATTAATATGAATTCCCGCTGTGAACTCATGTTTACATTTGAAAAGAGGTTTCTGTCTTGGTCTGAGTATTTAGGGAGATGCTGAAGAGGGTTCAGGGCGTGATTTGTGATGAGATCGGCCCAAAATGATGAGAGTCTTCCAGACACTTAGCGTTATGTCTCTGTTTCTTGAGTCAGGGGATTTCTACAGTCATCTTTTACTCTTTATCTCTGAGCATTTGATGTTATTGTATTGATTATGTTTGAACTGATTATGATATTGGCATGATACATTTACCTGAGGTAAATTGTGACATTTGAATTTGTTCTGAATTACTCAGAAATTATTTACTTTAGTAGATAACGTTGTATTCATTGTTAAAAACACATAGCACCTTTAAGCGTACTTGCAATGTTTCTTTAAAAAAGTCATCTTTGTTGTCTGTTTGATGTATATAATTAATTATGTAATCTGCAATGATAAAATAAAGAAAAAATTAAAAGAAATTGTTAATTTGTGTTGATAGCAGTTTGATTAATTTCAAAGTGGAAATGTTGCTGTTTTACAAAACATTGTCTTAAGAATCTGTGATTATATAACTGTTATGATATTCCTTCAGTTAACCGGCTTGTGCATCAGAGAACAGATGCATTTCTTTGACTCATTTTCATTTTAGTTTTTTCTGTCATTATTCAATTATTTAACTAAATTGTCAAAACGCATAGATTTAGTATTTTACATTAATCATCAAAAATGATATAATATTTTACATATTTATTAGGAATCAAATTTCAGCTGTGATCAGTTGAGCCTAAAAGCTTTTTACTCGGTCATTATCCCAGTAGTGGACGATAAACTCATGATCTCTAATATATTGAGTGTCCAAGTCTAGAGCTAAAAAATAAAAAATGAAAATGTGTAAGTCTATTAATTTCAATAATAGTAAAAAATATGGGGAAAATAAACATTTTATTTCTCTTTCTCTCATCATCTCACCCAGAACACACGCCTATTTTGTTTACGTGCTAAAAAAAAACAGGAAGTATTTGAATTCAAGAGACAGAAACGAAACTTAGGCTACTTCTCCACAAGTAATTCAACCTCTATTAACACCGCTGTTGCTGTTCTTCGTGTCAAAGCTGTAAACCAAATCATTTTTGAGTTGTATTTCTGTCGAGGTAAGGACTTCATTAGATCCGATTCCAAATATTATGACTTTATCATGTTGAGAGAAATCGCGTGCAATAATGTCTGCGTGTCTGTACGTACAGAGTTCCCTTGTAACGGTCCTGGTGAAACGACATTTTGCTTTGTACTTCTTGCGATTATTTATTACACGATTATTTTTTGATTTTGTTTTCTATTGAAAACGTTAGTAGGCTACTATTGAATTGAAATACTCGATTACATAGGCCTACCTCTATACTTTTTAAACTCTTTACAATTTCAAAATCCTTTTAAAATACATAATATTTCTGTGGTGTTCATGACTAAAAAAAGACTATTGTAGATAAATGCACAGCCTGCAGTTGATCAGAATAGAACAGCTTTCTTTCTGTTTTCTATTTTGTAGATGTTTGTTGTAACTAATAATTCAATATACTTTAGTAAACCATATGGTTAAACTGTGGTTATACAACCAATTTGTGGTACATGGCAAAACTAGACTTAGACTAAAACAATTCAGATGACTAAAATACGACTAAAACTACATCAATTAACTAAATAATTAGGCATCTCTCAGATGGTGTTTTGCTAAGATACTTGGACTGTGTACAATTTTGACAGTATCAATTCTTTCACTCAAGTATTTGACAAATAATGTTGCTTGGCAGAACACAGGACAGAGACTCAGAATCTGCTCATCTTTGAACACCGCAGAGAAATGTCTGAATCTGCAGCGAGTCAGTGTGTGGATCAGTTCAGCTGTCCAGTGTGTTTGGATCCTCTGAAGGAGCCGGTGACGATTCCCTGTGGACACAGTTACTGTATGAGCTGTATTACTGACTGCTGGGGCCAGAAGGAGCAGGGGCCGCCGTACCGCTGTCCCCAATGCAGAGAGAGCTTCAGTCAGAGACCTCTACTGAAGAAGAACACTCTGATAGCTGAGATGATGGAGACGCTGCAGAAGACGACGTCTCTACAAACGGCTGCTGTGGAGTGTGATGTTTGCACTACAGAGAAGAACAGAGCTGTAAAGTCCTGTCTGCAGTGCTTGGCCTCCTTCTGTCAAACTCACCTGCAGTCTCACTATCAATCTCCTGCGTTTATGAAGCACAAACTAGTCGAAGCTTCCAGACACATTCAGGAGAACATCTGTCTCAGTCATGGGAAACTACTGGAGATTTACTGTCAGGATGATCATCAGTGTATCTGTTACTTGTGTATGATTGACCATCATAACGGACACCGTGTGGTTTCGCTGGAATCTGAATGGACGAATCAAAAGGTAAATGCTTATGTTCATCTGTAATCTATAATTTTATGTTTCACATCCCCTTCTCTAACAATTATACAGATGACATTCAATTTTAATTTTTAAAAACAGAAGTGTGCATTTTTGTGGAATTAGTCCCTGAATGTTGCCACTTGCAGTTCAATCTTTCTTTTACCTATTAACTTTTGTTTGTTAACATCCTCAGAAAGAGTTAGAGGAGATAAAGGTGTCGTGTCAGAAGCTGATCCAGGAGCGAGAGAGAGGTCAGCGGGATCTCAGTGAAGCTGTCAATCTTCTTAAAGTGAGTATCGGTATGAGGACCAGACGACTGGTCCAATCACAAATACAACAGATGTATTAAATAGGCAACATTTTCATTTTAATCTTGCCATTTTTATTAGATTAAAAGTATAATCACTTTGGATTTGAACAAGATCTATGACAATTGAATTGGTCACATGTATTTTTTTTTTAAGCTGTTGCTCCATGATCAGATCTGTGTGTCTCCGCCAGAGTTCAGCGCTAGAGAGCATGGAGGACATTGAGAAGGTCTTCACTGAGCTCATCTGCTCTCTGGAGAAGAAACGCTCTGAGATTAAAGAGCAGATCAGAGCTCAGGAGAAGACTGAGATAGATCGAGCAGAGGAACTTCACAAACATCTGGATCAAGAGCTGACAGAACTCAGAAAAACACAAGCAGAGATTGACAAACTCCTGATTAATGATAATCAGCTCCATGGTCTGAAGGTAATGATGCAATCATGTTAAGAAACGTCCATAAAATAAAGCACTATTGTGCCGTGCTTGTTTAGGAAAAAATCTGTTTTGCTTCTTAAAGTTTTTATTATTATTCTCATTTCAGTGCTGTCAGTCTGTGTGTGTTTTACCTTCATATGAAGATGTTCCCAGCTTCACTCAACACACTCATCTGTCTTTTAAAGACATTTCAATCTCAGCGTTTAAGGAGGTTTTGGAGGACGTCTGTCAACAACAATCAGCCAGAATATCCAGAGAAGGTGTTTATAATAATAAAATAAGGTGACTCATTCAAATGTTTGGATTTCTATAAAAAAACCCATTTGATTGTGTTTCTTAACCTTTTAGTGTCAAATGTCCATTTCTCAGAGTTTCCAGAACCTGAAACCCCAAATGGATTTTTGCAGTGTAAGTTGAGTTTTATTTTTATAGATTGTTCTCTCACACAACTGTAAAATGATAGTTAAAGGTTGTCTAAGCGATCCTGGGTGTTGACGTTCGGAATATTTTCAAACAAATCGGAGGCTAGCTAGACCCTCCCTCATCCGCATCTCATCTCCTCCCCCTCCCTTCCGTGCTTCCTGAAGTAATTGTGAACGTGCATTTCGCTGACTGCAGTGCATAGTTCTAGCTAATTATATCCTTGTGTGGGTTTGGCGAACATAAGCGTCAATTTAGAAGAAAAAAAACAATTTAACGTTACCCACCTGTCCAGCAAAAACAGAGCAACCTGAATGTCGAAGCCCTTCTGCCGCCGGAGTTCTCGCTATCGTTCAAAAGCTTTGCTACCGATGTAAATTCGGAATTTATGCACATTCTTTATCCGACTCCTTCTTTTTAATTTGTTCTTCAGAACGACGTCTCTTTGGTCGTGTATCGGCCATTTTTCAAACTTCCCTCTGATGATACTTCTCTCTCCTTCACACACACACACCCCCTTCATGTGCACGCGCACTAACCCACCAGACCCACCCTCAAATACTTCTTGCCAGTGATTGGCTGGAACACTGTTTGTTAGGTTTCGTGGTCCGGGTACATGATTGTTTTTGTTGCCGTTTGTGGAGCCTGTGGTGTCTACAGAGACCGCGTTTTTTTACAGTGTGTTTAGGGGACAGGCAGCTAGCCGATAGTGAGGAGACGTTTGATGTATGTGACAAAAAATGTTTTGGCCCCACATCACTTAGACAACCTTTAATTATACTCATTAACCATCTCTATAGCTGTCATTTATTAAAAATAATAAATGTATCTGCTCATTGTTAGAAATAACTATTAAAATGTGACATTGTGAAGGGGTGGATGGCAGGACTTTATTTGCATATCTATTTGTCTCTCTGTCCTCATCAGATTTCTGTCAACTGCAACTGGATCCAAACACAGCACACAATACCCTCATCTTGTCAGAAGAGAACAGAAAAGCATCAGATTCAGTTGAAAAGCAGCAGTATCCTGATCACCCAGAGCGATTTGATTGGTATTGTAATGTCCTGTGTCGAGAGGGTTTGTGCGGTCGCTGTTGCTGGGAGGTCGAGTGCAGTGGGAACGACTGGTCTGTTGCAGTTTGTTACAAAGGAATTGGTCGTAAAGGAAAGGGTGAAGACTGCAGACTGGGGTTTAATAGCAAGTCCTGGAGGCTGACCCACTGTAACCAGAATTTTTATGTCAGACATCATCATAAGCAAGTCCCAATCCCTGCTGTCTGCTCCTCTAGAATAGGAGTGTATCTGGATCACAGAGCAGGAACTCTCTCGTTCTACAGCGTCTCTGACGCAATGACTCTCCTTCACAGATTCCAGACCACTTTCACCGAACCCTTATACCCTGCGTTTGGGGTTGGTACAGGTTCATCTGTCAGGATCATAGAGAAAAGAAGTATTTAGATCAGTAATTAAATGCTTACAAAATGTTCGAAATTGTTTATGTAAAGTTATAGATGTACTCAAAGCATTTATGGTTTTCTGAACGTTCCTGTCAACTCTTCACTATCCTGTACAACAAAAGTTAAGGCGATTGCAGTTCATTATTAAAGCCACAAGGTGTCGCCTTTTGTCCTATTGCGTTCTATTTTTAAGACCTATACTATATAGTCACAGCATTAAAGTTCTGTCAAGAAAAATGGCTTTTAGAGCTGTCAAAGTACTCACATTATTGTTTTAGATTAAACATGTTTAACAGCATTAGTAAATGTACCTAATTTAACACTGGCTGAGTCATCCCCTGTGATATTTTGAGTAATCTCCAAAGTCTGTTTTTTTTTGTTTTTGTTTTTTGTGTGAATTGATTAATTTTGGGGAATAGTGTTAAAGTATCTCAGAAATAAAGTGCATCTCTGCCCCATGTGTTTACATGAGTAACTGATAGTGAGGTCCAAGTGAAATGTCAAACTCAGCATGTCAAGCATTGCTACACAAATAAAAGTTCTTTGCATATTCTTTTTCTGTGTACTGCAGTATTAACTTTTCCAAGTTATCTTTTAACTATTACTAAAACATCTGCATCTGAAAAGCTTAGTGTGATACAATAGCTTTCAGACAGACAAAACGTACGTTCCTCAAATCTCTTCGTTTTGGTGGCATTGTCAGAATAAACATTTCCATTAGGTGGCAGCAATGCACTAAATGGTTTTCGAGTTTGCCATTCAAATCCAAAAGAACAAGAGAATGCGCATGCGCAGAGAAAAGCTCGAGCGATGATGAGCTCTGGTTTATTAATAATTAGAGTGTAATGTGTTGGCACCGCAGAGAGTTCTTCAGAGACTAGTGAGTGTATATTTATGTGTGATAAAGAAGATTTGGTTTTATGGTTTAGTGTTATTTGAAAGTTTATTTTCTAATGTAAGAATAGATTTTTGTGTTGAGTTGATGTTTGTGTTAACGTTACACTGTACTGCAAATTAAATGTAGAATTAGATGTAGCCATACATTTTGATCAGCTTCTATCCAATCTATATAAATAAACATTCTCTATTAAAAAATCATTTTATTTTCAATTCACCTGTAACGTTAACAACTTGTTTCTTAGTAAAGCTTTCTGAGAACAGGTCATTCATTGCACGCTAGATTACTTATTGTCGTAAAAATGCGTCTTCTTAATGGATACATTTAAATATCTGTTTTCTGTGTCAGGTTTCTAATTTTAATTCAATAAGGTGTGCCGTTTCATGCTTACAAAAGCCCTGGTTACCTAAGCAACCTTCCTATATAGCTTTATACATATATACGTATATATATATATATATATATATATATATTATTATTAAATAATAACTGTATTATTAATTTTCTGTATTATTTTTTCTTTTTTTGTTGTCAGATCTGGTGCCCCTCCCAAAACATCACTAATAAAAACTGGGAATTTTCCCATCATCAAAAACAAGAGAAGAGATACTCCAGATGTTAACGCTGAGTTCGTTGTGACTGTTAAAGATGGCGTTTGTTGAAGTAGAGATTGAGGACACGAGTGACTCAGAACTATCCAGAATCGATCATGAAGATACAGAGGAACAAACAGGTTGGTGTCCATTTTTGAAGGCAACAAAACAGATGTTGTGTCAGTGAAATAAGCAGCAAGTGAATGGCAAATGATACAGAAAATCAGGAATACACAACATATCACCCACCATATCAGTATATTTTAATGTTGTTGTGAATTAATCAGAACAGAAATGTGAATTTGTTATCTTTAATAATAACAGAAATAGTTTGACATTAATGGGGGTGTTCAGCTTTAAGAGATTTCTACCAATAATGCATCAGTGTATATGAAGAAAAAAAGAGAAAGAGATTGATTTCATGTGCGAGCGCTGTATCTAATGATTCAAGTTCAGAAACTTCAGTAAACAGTTCAGTTTATTCAATTCAAGTCGTCAGTGGTCATTATTGCTGGTCAAGGAAGAAAATACACGACAAATGTTATTGTTATCGGCCTGAAAATAACATTTGGTCGATATATTTAATCTGATAAATAATGGATTATTTCCTTCAGCTCAGACACTTCAGATGTGCACTGTTCACTATGATAGTTAGGAATTGTTTGAAATATGATTGGAATCGATTTGAAAAGGAAAATACAGTTAATACAACATATGCAGCACAAGTCTGTCATATAGGCTATATACTGTACTGTAAAAGTGTAATGTGAACAATATAATTGTGTGCTTGGGAAATGGATTTAATGGTGAGGCTCTCAAAAATTATACAAAAATTTGGATTTAGATTTATCGCCCAATTTATCTGTTATCTGCTATAAGAAATTTTTCATATTGGTGCATCCCTACAGAATTGATCATATCTTTCTATAGCATTTCTCATCCATGATTTAATTGCATTGACAAGAGAATGACAGAACGAACCTTTGGCACATCAATATAACTGATACACCTGATACGGACATATCTACTAAATCAGGGTTCACCTAAACTTAATATGTTTATTTTAGATGGGATGGAAGTGAAAGAGCAAAGACGAGAACTAAATAAAGCAGAGGAGGAACATTGTAACTTGAAAAAGCTGCACACCTGCTCTCGGTGTGGAAAGACTTTCAGACATAAATCATCTCTCAGGAATCATCTCTCCGTTCACTCAGAAAAAAAGCCCTTGGACTGTGATCAGTGCGGTAAATATTTTAGCTCGTTGCCGCATCTCAACAAACACCTAAAAATTCATTCAGGCGAGAGGCCGTACTCGTGTACCGTCTGTGGGAGGAGTTTTTCACGGCTGGACAGTTGTAAACAGCACCAGAAAATACATGATGAAGTCAGAGACCATGTGTGCTCCAAGTGTGGGAAGAGCTTTACTACAGCTGGCCAGTTGAAACAACACCAAATCATTCATACTGGAGAAAGACCTTACAAGTGCTCATACTGTGACAAGAGTTTCACTCAATCTGGAAACCTGAAATCCCACGAGCGAGTTCACACCGGAGAGAAGCCGTACCACTGCACTCAGTGTGAGAAGAGTTTCAAAGACGCAACCGGTCTCAAAAATCACCTGCACCTTCACTCTGGAGAAATGCCATTTAACTGTGAGCATTGTGGGAAAGATTTTAATTCGTCATCGAATTTTAAAAACCACCTGAAAGTCCATACGAACGAGAGGCCTTATGTGTGTTCTTTCTGTGGAAAGAGTTTTTCGCTGCAGGAAAGTTGTAAACTGCATGAGAAAATACACACGGGTGTGAGAGATCAAGTGTGTTGTGTGTGTGGGAAGAGCTTCGTTACGCCTGGACAACTGAAACGCCACCACATCATTCACACTGGAGAAAGACCTTTCAAGTGCTCATCGTGTGACAAGAGTTTCTCTCTGTCCGCACACCTGAAATCACACGAGCGGCTTCATACTGGAGAGAAGCCGTACCACTGCTCTCAGTGTGGACAGAGGTTTAGACATTCAAACTCACTAGCAAATCATATGAAAAAGCATTTTCACAGTGAGCAAAATTCATCCATCCAGTTAGTTAGTTTGTAGCGCTTTATCGGATTCGGCATGAGTAAATATTGTACGTTTGTATTGCCGAAGTAATTGCATAAAATTGAAACGGTGCACAATTAGAATAGTGCAAAGAAAGAAAACTGATGAATATAAAGTAGCAATAGTCACCATGAAATCAAAATGTACAATTCTTATATTTATGGAATATTGCAGTATTTATTATTGTTTATTTATTCGTGCACATCATTATTATTATTATTTTTTTAGGGATAATTCACCCAAACATTTTAATCATTTATTATCACTAAACATTTGATGGGCCCCATTGTATTTTTCATCAACTCATCAACTGTTTGGTTACCCATATTCTTCAAAATATCTTCTCTTGTGTTCAGCATTCTTTCACACAGGGTTGGAACGACTTGAGGGCGAGTAAATGATCATTTTTGGGTGAACTATCACTTTAAATTCATGTCGTGTTATTATAATCTTGAATCAAAATAAATTGCCCTTCCTCTTGCAGTGACATCTCTTCTCTGATGAGGTATGCATGCACTGATGTCACTTTCCTGGAGGAACACGCCTCCTGAGTGGCAAAAGAGCTGCTGCGTGACTGGATTTAATAGGGGAAACTGTGAAAACACGAGTAAAAACAAACGATTGTCAGTTTAACCCTAAAACCATATTCTGGACAAATGTGGGCAAAATAGTTTTGATTTATTTTTAAAAAATACTTCCCTTGATCTGAGCGGTACAAGACTTGGCTGCTTGGCTAATTTTGCCTCTTGAACACACACACATTTTTTTGGGACTCAATTCTACAATGTTAACTGGGTGAAAAAAACAACTCCTTAATCTTGTATTTGGGTCAAAAATGGGCACCCATTGAAATGAATGGGAAAAACTAATTTAGAACATTCTAAAATAAGACAAAATAAGACGCACACATTTTCTGTAAAATGCCACAAGATGTGTAGAGATGTTTTTTCTGTTATGTTGGGGAGTCAGCGAACGTATTAAATCACTTTAATCTTACATTTATGTGTTTTTATTGTTCTGATTGTAAGCCACCTCACCTGTCAGTTTGAAACGATTCTCTCAGTTTGAGTTATTGACTTTGTTTAGACTGATCTATAGATTTCTCTGCAACATAAACGTTGTCTATAGTCTCTGTATGATGGCAAAAAATAAAATGATTGCACTGACATCTCTGATTATGTGTGATTTTAAGTAATGTGTTTGTCCATTATCGTGTTTTAAGAGACAGTAATTGATTTAGTTTAACAAATCATGATTCTTTAGTTTGTCTCAGCCTGTTGACACAGTGCATTGTGCTTAATATAATGTGCCAATTTACAGAAGATCTACAGATGTCACCGTAATGAAACTAGAAAACTACTGGAATGAAAGAAGATGCTTTTCAGCAGTTTTGTTTCTGCCAGACTATTGACAAGAATGAAATCAGCCTTTCAGTCTGCACGTGAGAGATCGGAGCTTCACATTAACCAGCGTCAGGGTTGAATAAGCTTCAGCTTCAATGTAGAATCAGCTTTTGCAAACACACACTGATCACCACTTCTGCTAACACACACAAGTGCATGAAAAGAATCAGTTTCTGTACTTACTGTAGTATTAACAGTAAATTATGCATGCATGCATACATGAAACTAATCTTTACACCAAACCAAAATGAAACCTTAAAATAGATTTTGGAGTTTATAATGGTACAGAAGTCACGGTTTGGTACTAACACCTCATTTTTTTTGGGGTCAAAGTTCGATACAAGTTCGGTACAATAGGGAAAATGGTCACATTTTAATAAGAGTGCATGTTTGATACTAAAATAAGTACATTTAATTGCTCTCATTGACCTAGTTTGACAAGTCCTGCCTACAATCACAACATATTAATCATAGTAGCCTAAAATATTTACAGAACTTTAATATTTAATGTTATTTAATTATTTATGCAATTCGTTTAATAGATAACACTTTCATGAAAACAATTGGTTTGTAAAAGCTGAGTTTGAGCTGAGGTTTTGTTGACTGTGGTGTTTGGAGCGCTTCGAATCAGTGAATCATTTTGCCACGCAATGATTCAAATGATTCAGAGTTTCGAAAAGCTTCGTTTTTCCAGAACCCTTCATGCTTTCGTCACCGCCCTCGCGTCGACGCGGCCAATCAGCTCGCACTGGCCTACGCTAACGTCACTCGCTAAGTAGCTCGCGGAACAAAAGCCGTCAGCGCGGTCTGTTCCTCCCCGCCGGAAGCCAGCGACAATACGCTGACACGTTCGTTTAGCTTTAAAGTTTGTTTTAAACGAATTTGTCAAGTTAAATACGGCCGTTTACAGTGTAGAATAGTAAATCTCGGGACTGGTGGCGAGTGTTTTTGTCTGCGCTGAAGCTGCGAGGGATTCTCGCGAGAGTAAGTAGATGAGCGCGTGGCTGGTTTGTTTGTGTTTGTGCGTTTGATTGTTTCAAAGCAGCTGGGACCACAGGACAGCATTGGCTCGTTTTAGGGCTGTGTGTTCTAGTTCTGGATCATGTCATACATGTTTTCAGGCAACAAATATAGTTGCTCTCTAATTGTGCCACATGCCAGCAACATATTTGGCCTTATTCCCCTTTAAAACTCATTGTTTCGCTTGCACAGATGTGTCTGTAAACATTTCGCTTTTTTTTTTTTTGGAAAAACGTTGTCAGTCAGTCAGTTAACATGAAAATGGATGTTTTTAAAATATGTTTGTGTGTCAATTTCCATGAGTGTTTACGTGGAAAGGTCACAGTGGAAAGAGTTACAGAGATAATCTAATCATTTTTCCCTCCCTGTGTTTTTATCTACCACAGATATTGTGAAATCACTGGTGAACAGTGGGGTAGACTATTAAAAGCTTTTGTATGTACTTTTACACATGTCGGCAATGATTCTGACATGGTATTTGTTTCTTAGTGTGGGCTGATGTCACTTCTGCAAAGTCGTTACTATTCCCTTTGTCTTATCCGTCTTTGTTCTTTAAAACCATGCCCTCTTCCCATTACCTATATCATTTGCATATGTTCGTTATTCATTATGGATACCTTAAACTCAACCCTTATGCAAACAAGCACTGAGACAGACGTGTACATGTGTGTTTGTTTGAGCTTCTAGTTTTGTTTCCTTTAAAGGTCGAAGGGTTCATCAAATAAAGACATGGCATGTGTCAATCACTTATAATTCGCATCATGCTTTGACTTGACTCAAACTCCTAATTACTGTTTTTAGTTATTACGTTTAGATATTGGGGTGGATTGAGGGATTTATAATACGATTGTACAGAATAAGGCATTAATATGTGATTTATAAGTACTAATGAACTTTAATATGCATACTAATAAGCAAATAGTGGGAATTGGACCCTAAACCAAAGTGTTGCCCAGTTTTCAGATAAATGCAATAATGTGATTGAATTCTGCATAGTGTTGCTGTTGCCCATCCACTGAAACCAGTCACCTCATGAAAAGGCAAAATTTTTATTTTCTTGTTCATGCATAAGTTGTCTTATGTAAATAGTTGTATATTAATGCAGCTTTTTTTTATGATTATTATGCTGTGGCTCTTCTCGTGAATTTTCTCAGCTTCTGTCTTGTGTTTCTAAAACTACATCGCTGTCATTTCTCCTTTCAGCTGTGGTCATTCTGCTCGGTCATTTTTCGTGAATACCCTGACGGAAGCAGGAAGTCTCAGTACGGTTTCCTCTTCCTCTTTCTTTCATCTCGTTCTATTTTCTCCTTTTTTTATGGCTCATGCAAAGACGTGTACCGTTCACCCGGGTCAAACGTAAGACGAGGTCGTCACGGAAGCACAAACGCATGCTTCGGGGGTCTTCATTGACCTGACGTTGAACTCTGTGTGACCTTTGACCTTCATTGTGACTGGCTGTGAATGTCACGCTGTTGGAGTCACTGACCACACGTGGTGCTCTGCTAATACATAAAGTCTTGACGCCTAAAGAAGTTATTAGTACTGATAGTCTTGTGTTAAATCAACACTATGCACAATAACTTCACTTATACAACTGTCCTCAATCATGGCTCAGATGCTCCACAGAATCACATCTTGACATGTTGATCAGACTCCTTTAATGTAGGACACTGCAAGCATGAATAATGCAGATGTGACAGATGGAGGCGGTCCTGTAGTCAGGCATGACCAGCTGTTTTTGTGTCCACTAGGCCGTGCACGACTGCTTATTCTTTCTAGTTGGATAGTCAGCGGGTCAATGTTTACCGTAATGAGGCACAAATGCTGCTTTTTGGGAAGGTCATGTACTCATGGACATATTTTCAGGACATATTTTTGGTTAATATGTATATGGTTGGTTTCGGTTGTTCAGTGTGTTAATAGTAGTTCATTTGTACCATTACTAAGTTGCCATAGTTACTAACATGAGTAATTATTTTAAAGCATTTATTTCTGTAGGTTAATGTTAACTTCTGCATGAAGAATGTAACTTTTATATTTGAATAATAGTATATTTATACATTAATACTTAAATACATTGTACCAATACATTGTTAATACATTAATATTAATCGTCCTGGGAATGTTTGCATATTTTATATATATATATATATATATATTAGGGCTGTGCAAAAACTAATTGTGATTAATCGCATCCAAAATAAAAGTCTGTGTTTACATAATATATTTGTGTGTGCTGTATATAATTATTTTGTATATATAAATACCTATGCATGCATGTATATATTTAAGAATTATTTGTGCTTAAATTCTGTGTGTGTATATATATATATATATATATATATAAATACATAATCTTTATTATATAAATATAAATATTTTATATATGAATAACACATTTTCTTAAATATATACATGCTTGTGTGTATTTATATATACAAAATAATTATATACAGCACACACAAATATATTATGTAAACAGACTTTTATTTTGGATGCGATTAATCGCAATTAATTTTTGCACAGCCCTAATATATATATATATATATATATATATATTAGGGCTGGGCAACGATTAATCGCATCCAAAATCCAAAATATATGCGTGTGTAGTGTGTATAATTATTTTGTATATATAAATACACACACATACATGTATATATTTAAGAAATATTTGCATGTATATACTTTATATGTATTTATACATAATTAATATTATGTATAAATATACATTTTTGATATATTATGAACACATTTTTCTTAAATATACATGCATGTGTGTGTATTTATATATACAAAATAATTATACACACTACGCACACATATATTATGTAAAAACAAACTTTTATTTTGGATGCGATTAATCGCGAATATAATTTTATTAGTGTGTGTATGCTTTATAAGAAGAACACTGTAAAATGCTACTCAATGTAACAATAAAACCAGTTTCTTCACAAAAAACGAATCGATTTGTCTGCGCAACCCCTAGTTTACGTGAAAATGGAAAAAGATGAGCTTCTTTTACTCGTCGAGCATGTGTGCTGACTGATGAAAGGCTCACTTCCTGGTTGTGGTTGTGCACAGGTAGCATTTTTCCTAACAGAACTCCTCTTTGTCTCTGCGCAGGAGTCCAAGGCCTATTAAAGCTCGTCCTCCTTCAGTCCTGCAGTGATCTGGAAGGTAAGTGTTTGCTCAGTTATTCACACGTACACCACAGTTCATTCCAGTGAATCACCATCGTCATGAGTGAGAGGAGTGTTCTGGATGAACGAGTGTGTGTGTGAGAGATAGAGAGAGGAAAGGCGGCTCTGTGTTTGGCTGAAGGGTGGAGGAGAGTTGCTCTGGAATCTCTCCACTGTGAACTGCTTTACCCCTTTTCATTTCTCTTTCATTTTCTCCCTTTCCTCCTGCTCTATGCTGACACAGGAGAAGCAATGCATGCAGGGTAAGCTCAGACTGTTCTTGTGTGTTTGTTGTGTGGAGTAATCCAGTGTTTATGTGTGCTTAAAGGAGTAGTTCACTTTTGCTGATAATTTACTCACCCCCATGTCATCCAAGATGTCCACGTCTTTCTTTCTTCAGTCGAAAAGATATTAAGGTTTTTAATGAAAACATTCCAGCATTTTTCTCCAAATAATGGACTTCAATGGGAACCAAACGGTTCAAGGTCCAAAAGACACTTTCAGTACAAACTGCAAACTGTTCAAAGGGCTTTAAACGATTTAAGACGATGATGAATAAGGGTCTTATCAAGCGAAACGATCGCTCATTTAATAAATAAATAACAAAGTTAAAGTTTTATAAGCTCAAATGCTCGCCTTGCTCTGTTCTGTGATGCGCGTTCGTGACTCTCCTGTTCGAACTTGTTCATCAAAATGAACAAATCTTTTCCAGAGTCAACTCGTTCATTTAGTTCGTTGAATGAACCAAATGACTCGAAAAAAGATTTGTTCATTTGGATAAACTTTAAGTACATACTACCCATATTCATACGATAAAGAACGTACTTTTGTAAAGTTGAAATTCAGATGTAGTTCCTGCTCAGCATGTGGTTTCAGGTGCAGTGATTAACTTGCCCTCACCCTCGCAACGATCACTTTGGTTATAACATTGCATGATTAGTAGCTGCATTCTTGAACTTTTGATTATCATAGAAATCCAAGTTTCTTTACCCAGCATTTTCTTTTTTTTGTTTCATCTTGCCGCCTTGGTTTATTAAGATGTAGGCGTCTTTGTTTGGCTCAGGCCAGTCGAGCTCAGGTCATGAGCAGTGTTTGTAACGGGAGCAGCTGGAATGATGAGTCGTGCTCTTCATGTGAGGGCGTTTATGGGAAATGTGCACACCCCATGTGGACTTGTGACAAACGTGGCTCTTTTTCCGGAGAAAATGAGTTCCTGGATTAGGATTTGGACAGTGAAGGTTTGCTTTTTGGCTTTTTGGTCAGTGATTCCAACAAAACGTGCTGTCCTTTCTTTCTTTATTGCTCAAGAGGGAATATTCATCTCCGATCCACACACTCTTGTGAAAGCTCGGTCTTCTCAGGTTCACAACCGATTCCCTCAGTCTCATGCTTGCGGTGGAGTGTGAGTGCAAGCGGTGCCTTCAGATGCTGTGAAATCTCGTCTCAGTATTGAGGAGTTTCTCTTTAGTGAAGACTTTCCTGATTTACAGCCATAGTGGGTGGAAATAATTTCTTTGCTAAATAAACTAGTTTTAGCTAAATATTTAATTGTGTATATTAAGGTTTCACCAAATTATTCATATTAGTGTATTTTTGTTCATAAAATACAGTCTAGTTTAATGCAATTACCATTATTGAGTTGATTCAATATGCTTATGAAAGCTATATTACTCTTCAAAAGCTGGTCAGCATTTTTTTTTTAAATGAATACTTTTATTCAACAAGGATGCAGCATTCAATTAAAAAGGCAGTGAAGATATTTATAATGTTACAAAAGATTTGTTAATCAAAGAATCTTAAAAAAATGCATGACCAATCCCACAAATCTATGAAGCGGCACAACTGTTTTCAACATTGATAATAATCAGAAATGTTCATCATAGAATGATTTCTGAAGGATCATGTGACACTCGACTGGAGTAGGCAAATGATGCTGAAAATACAGCTTTGATCACAGTAATAAAGTACATTTTTTAAAAATGTATTCAAACTGTTATTTTAATATTTCAATAGTTTTCTGTTTTTGATAAATACAGCCTTATGCTCCACAAGCCTGTATATAAGAGAATACCATTCAAAGGTTTTGTAATGTTTTTTTAAAGAAGCGTATATTTGAAAATATTGTTTACTAAATAAGTTGCTTGAGTGTAAAGTACAAACTTTTAATTTGTAAAATAAAGGATTGCTTGTACTTATGGGCTATATGCACGCATAAGTTCCGCATTTGACGCAAGGATGCTCGTCTATTTCCGGTTGTGTAGATTAAAGCGGAGGAAAACCGGAGAAAACGGGATTATGGCAGAGTCTTCAATATTTACTGTCCTCCCGTCTTTGAAACGAAACGTACATACATATATACATATATACAGTTATGTTTATTTGATATAATTTTAAAAAGAAGCATAAACACAACGAGGGGTGTCTGTTTTATCTGTTTTTGTGACTAACGTTTCATTAGTATAACCATGGAGTATAAAATTCAATATAAATTCTCGCTATTGCATTGGACTCTATGATCGGCGGAAGTTATCGAGCATCCTTAATCCTTCACCGGAAATAACGCCGTGCATAGAGCCCATTAGCCCTTGTCCAAAAATTAGCCCTTCCTCCATGTTGTTTACTGATGTTGTTGTTGTTGTTGTGCTCATAGATATCTATATAAAGGCTAGATATGTCGTCCACGCTGCTGGCCTATGGAGGTCGACGTCTGCACCTGGCGGCCATCTTGTCACAGGCAGCTCGCTCACTCGTAACATTGTGTTAATGGTACATGTACTATTTAAATGACCATAACTTGCTCGATTTCTACCGATTTTCAAACGGTTTTTTTTTTTGTAAACGTCAGAGATGTAGTTATGACACTGCATACTTATGAATAAAAAGTGTATAAATAAATAATCATCCAGATAATTATAGCACGTTAATAACGTTTGTAAGAAACCAAACCGTTTGTAAATCCGTCAAGATTTCAACGAGATAAGAGTATTTGTGTTCGTGTTGACCAATCATCTTACATCAGCTTGTCTGTGACGAGATGGCCGCCGGTGATGACGATGGAAACTCCGCCGTAACACATCTAGCCTTTATATAGATATCTATGGTTGTGCATATGAGTTCAGGCGAGAACAACCTTGTAATTGATGATGCACCTAGTCTGCAATTAGTTTGAAGTACTGCTACATAAAAATGTCACAACATGCGTCCTTACACTCTTTCGTTTTGCTCTACAGTGCTGTCTACTCCGATCCGAACGACTTCTCATGCATCGTCGTCTCTTCTGATTGGCTGACGCTCTCCGGTCCACCCTGCTCATGAGGTAACCCCGGCTGTAGTTGTTGACGCCCGTGGCTGGGCCGTGATGGGGCAGAGGGTGTCGGGGGTGGTGAAATCCGCGGATGAGCCGGAGACAGGCGAGCTGCCGTATCCGCCATTGTGTGCGTCGTTCAATAGACGCGGCGTCCCGTTACCCAGCCGTCTGGAGCTGCTGTTGGACATGCCTCCGGCGGGACCGGAAATCCAGCTGCTGCACACCTGGAACCCGGACGACCGCTCGCTCAACCTCTTCATCAAAGACGAAGACCGGCTAACCTTCCACCGCCACCCGGTGGCCCAAAGCACGGACTGTGTGCGGGGGAAAGTCGGCTTTACTCGCGGCTTGCACGCGTGGACTTTGCGATGGCCCGTTCGGCAGCGCGGGACGCACGCGGTTGTTGGGGTCTCAACTTCTTTGGCTCCGTTGAGAGCCGTCGGATATTCGGCCCTAGTCGGTAGTGACGCCGAATCCTGGGGTTGGGACTTGGGACGAGGCCGACTGTACCACGACAGAAAGAGCCAGACCGGCCCGGCGCCGTCGTACCCGCAGTTTATTGAAGACGAAGATGAGGAAGGGACGTTCTCCGTGCCCGAAGAGGTTCTGGTGGTGCTGGACATGGACGAAGGCACACTGGGATTCTGTGCCGACGGGAACTACCTGGGCGTGGCGTTTCGTGGACTGAAAGGAAAGAGGCTGTACCCGATCGTCAGCGCCGTGTGGGGTCACTGTGAAGTCAGCATGACCTACATCAACGGATTAGACCGTATGTATCATTTTCAGGTTTTTTACTTCTTTCCCATATTTTCCTTAATCCTGTATCCAAGGGCGGCGCATGTTGATTTGAAGCCAGCTCTTTAGATTTATTCTGTTTTTTTTATTGCCAATGTGCGAACCGCTTGCGACAACTTAAAAATACGAGACCTTCCCCGACTTCCTAGGTTGTCTATGAAAGCCTGTAGACTAATTTTTATGTAAAGGGCTCAGATGTTTTTGTTGGGAAAATCTAATTTACACACGCTACTGACCGTTCTGACTCAATGTTCAGGAAGGATAATGTTGAAAAAGTTTTTTTCTGTATTGTCCGTGTCATGCAAAGAAAAGGGATTTTAGACTACAGTCTCATATAGTCAGATCTATATAGTCTGTAGTCTCAGATATACTTGATACACAAACTATCATAAGTGGAAAGTTGCTGGCTGCAGTTCACTTAACGACCACCGGTGTCACTAATAATAAGGGTTTCTAAATTCTACATGGAGCGTCTTTTAAAGCTACACTGTGTGATTTTTACCCCCATCTAGCGGTGAAAAGTTATATGACCATCCAGTGAATATTAGTTTCTTTTCGTCTCGATTCCGATTTCGTTTTAACTCCTACGGTGGCCAATGTAGTCCAAGATTAACATGGCTTCCAGTTCGACCTCGTCCATGAGTGTAAACTCAAACGTAAACGTGAAAGGCGAAGCTTGAATTAGCGGGTATGTCTCTCTTTGGCTAATGTACTTTCAAGATGGAGGGGCAACATGGCGACCGACATTAGAACCCCTTACCCGTATGTATTTCAATGGCATATTATACACTCATGAGAATACTTTATTACTTGAACGAAGTAAATGTACATTAATGAGCGCATATATTTTTGAAAGAACTAAGTGTTTTTAGCCACGAATAAACTAAAAGAGTTACACAGTGTAGCTTTAAAGGGATACTCCACTTTTTTTGGAAATAGGCTCATTTTACCACTCCCCCAGAGTTAAACAGTTGAGTTTTACCTTTTTCAGATGTATTCAGCCGATTTTTAGATATTTAGAAGAATATCAGTAACCAGACCGTTTCTGGTCTGATTGACTTCCATAGTATATTTTTTTCCTACTATGGAAGTCAATGAGACCAGAAACGGTCTGGTGGAGTGGAGTATCCTTTTAAAACTGTAATACACTACTTTTAAAATCTTAACAGATTATATAACACTAGGCATCATACACATAGTGACTACATTGTTACAAATTAAAGGCCTGTTCTCACCAAAAAGTATTACTACAACTGTAAAGTTTTAATAATCATTCTAATTGAATTAGAATAGAGAAGTCCACACCACAATTCTAACACTAAAGGCATGGAGGAACAATATCGTTGGAATCACTTTTAAATGGGTCATGAACTGGCTTTTTAAATTTTATTACATTGTTGTCTGAGGTCAGTTCATGACGTTTGCTTGGTTTTTGCATTCAAAAACATCAAAATGAATAATAGCTCTTTTTTTGTAACTTAATTAGTATATTTTTGTTTTATTTGCATTTACCATTATTTCTAAACAATATGACAAGTAAGGCATTACAAAGGAGGAATATAATACTCAAACCCATTTTATTTATTAGATCTTTTGTTTTATACAGTATTCCTACTGATTTTGCTACCTTACTTCTAATGTATCCAAAATGTGGTTTCCAACTAAGTTTATTATCTAAGATTTAGTTTCTAAACATTTTAATGCCTTATTTTGCATAACCTTATTATTCTACATCCCTTACTCCTACCCAATACCCATACTTAAACGCTACTAAAACTACCTTACTATTAATAAGCAGTAAATTCGGAGTTTGAGGCAACAATGTAGTTCATAGTGAATATATGTTCCGCATACTGAAGCGTTACCAAATGGTCTCTCTTGTGATTGGCTGGCTTTTTAACAGTTCTTTTGCTGTTTGTAGTGTCACAACCATGAATCGTTGAGCTTATCTTAAATCAATGTTGGTCTTTGAAGTCCAAACGAGTGTTTTCACATGATCGCTTGAGGTCTTTGACCCTTGACCCTAACTGACTTCTGCTGTGTCCCGTAGCTGAACCCCTGCCGTTGATGGAGCTGTGCAGGAGAGCAGCGCGACAGGCTCTGGGTCGAAACCGAATCCATCACATCCAGTCTCTGCCACTGCCACAGACGCTCAAGAACTACCTGCAGTACCAATGAGACTCACACACACACACACACAGAGCCAAAAAACTGGACACCTGCTCAGAAATGATCCCTGGTGCTGGTGACTTCAGTACTGTAGAAGCTTTGTGCTGTGCACAGATCGACGTATAGGGACGGACGCTACCGAATTGAGCAGCCAGACGACGAGTATCTAGTTTTTATACATGATTATGAGGTGATTGTAACAAATAAGGCGTTTGTGTTTGAGAACGACTCAAGTTCGTGTCTTCCATGGAAATAATTTTTTTAAGAGCTGATGATTTTGATTTTCCTTCACTTTTATGTCAACAACGATAGACTTGGGTTTCTGCACATAAATCCAGCATGATATTTTATTCCAGAAAACAAGTCGTTATTGTCTTCACTAATACACACACAGTGCCTGAGATCTTTTATCTTTTCTGTTTGTTGTTTGTTTTTTGCCTCTCCAAGCTGTAATCATGACGAAGCTGATTAAATCGGTTTTCAGATGTTTTAGCGTATAAACGCGAGTATGCGAGTTTGAAATGTGCCGCGGCGTCTGTGAAGCAGATTTTTACAGATCTGATTTTTATATGAATTTGATGTCTGCCAGAGCAGTCTGTGTTTTGGGCCTCCGGGTGGCGGTGGAAAACCTGCAAGATGGCAGACACGACTTTGCTTATATGTGACTTTTGAAATGTGAATAAAAATAAAACTCAAAACCCAAAATGCAGTCTGCTTCTCTTTCATTTCTGTATCAATGCTTTTAAATTCATATTTTTCATTCCAATTCTGATGTAGTAACATTTTTGTTAGTGTATTTTCAAATGGTCATGTTGAGTTTTGCTGAACCTACTGGTGATTTATGTTTATATTATCTGTTTTCGGGTTTATATGATTGAGTTTTGGGGTAATTATTGCATCACCTTGTGGGTCTCTTGAGAATAGCATACAGAAAGCATTTATAATTGATATTTTACTTAATATAAATTACACTAAGACCTAAATTGTATTGCTCAGATTGATATATTAGTTGTTAAATATTCATGTTTTCGTCACATTCATTGCTTTGTGTGTACAGGTGTGGCTATAGCTTATTTTCTGAGGTCCAAATGTCCTCAATTATATAGTAAAATTATGAAAACTCATCATGAGGACATTTTGGTCTTTTACATAGGAAAAAATCTTTTACATAGAAATTGTGACTTTGTCATGCAGTTCTGAGAGAGAAAAAGTCAATTGTGAGATAAAAAAAAGCAATTACCTTTTTATTTTTTATTCAGTGGTGGAAACAAGCTTCCATTGAAATGCCACACAATTTGCGGAGGTGTTTTTTAATGTTAAATTGGAGGAGAGACAAAAACAAAACGTCATTTGTCAGTGTGAAACTGTGCCCTCAATTTGAGGGAGTTTATTAAAACGTGGTGAAAAATTTCTCTGCAACCGAAAAGCTGTCCACTGGCTCTGTATAGTGAGTGTGACATAAATAAAATTACTCTTTCATTGACAACATCTTTGTAATATTTTCCTAAGTATAATCGAATATTTGTCTGAAACCTGCTACGATATATATAATGAAATTAACTTAAAGCTAGCAATCTGTAGGCTACTGCTCCGAATAAGCTCTAATGCCCCCGAGTGTAACACGCGCTTCGTGTGATATACCACAAGATGGCGCTGTTGTATAACAGATTTGTTTATGCGCGATGGCAGCCGTTTGAGAGCTTCCCTTTCGACGTTGATACTTTTTATTGTTGTTTTAATTCTACGACAGCAAACATTTGACATCCACGTGAAAGAGTAAAAAGACGACTTTCTTAAAACCATTTTATTGACCCATGTACAGAAAGTGCAGCAGCGACCACAAAAAAGTCGGTAAGATATACAAATACAAAATAACCCATCCATTCGCACTTTATATGAGTGAACCGTCATTTACAAAACCATTCGCACACAAAACACACAGGCAGCCAATGTTACACAGAGTAGTAGTAGTAAGACAACATTTAAAGGGTGCACGCACGGATGGACTTATAAACGCGACTCACGACAAAAACGTTTTCACCGTCAGTTATTAGAGCTAAAATTCATGGGTGTTTATGAAAGGATGACCATTTCACATCAAATGAGATGAACAGCGCAGAGAAAGCCTTGTTCTGTGACTTCACTGTCTCGTACTTTCTGTTATTATTGTCCTCCAGCGATAGAGACAGAGGGCCTAAAGGGATCAGACCGGGACGAAGGACTTTTATTAGTTTGTCAGCTCACACCAAACAGTTTCACTAAGGATCAGAGCCGAGTCTTTTCGTGTGTAAACTCGCTTGTATTGCAGGCCACTACAATGCTACAGGTACGCGTTGTGTTTTGAGTGTGTTTTCAGCAGTGTAATGTTGCTTTCTCCCATTGAATCCTGGTTTGATGATGTATGAAAGATGTGGTAGCTTCCTCTTCATCGCTGTCTGATTCGGTACTTGACACACCACATTCCTCTTCCTCATCTTCTTCCTCCTCCTCAGTTACTTCTTCTGCTGACTGAAGCTCCTGAAAGTTCTAGGATTACCAATTATTTGGTTACTCTCGGTCATAGTAATTCAAATGAAATCTTTTGCATTGTTTTGCAATAATGAGAAAAGAACAAATGATCTGAAAGGAATTAGGGCCTAATTTAAATTGTGTCTTCATTTGCTCATGTCTTTTTGGAAACCATGTGACTTTCTTTAGACTATTATGAGATATTTACAGCTAAATGTCCTAGCTGCTTTTTTCCCCCCAAACAATGAACTCGAATGGGACTTAAAATCAATATCAGTCTCTCCCACACATTAAGTTATCATAAACTTAAAAAGACACAGGTTTCAACCGAAATTGCTTCCCTACTATATAGTGCGCGAAAAACAGTGTGTGACAAAAGTAGTGTGTCAGAATTCAGGAAGAACTCTTGAGTCTGGATGACATACTACTTATGGTGAGAATATGATGGACACTTTACTATCCCATGAGGCCAGGGAGAGGATTTCTAACGCTAGTAGCTGGTACGTCACATGATAATGACAACATAGCAAAAGTAGTACGTCCAGATTACATTCGTACTACATACATTCATACTATATTTAACATACTTTTACAGTGGTTGTGAATTACTTATTGTAAATAAGAACTCAAGAGAGTATGAGATTTCGGACGCAGCCGTGGAATAGTGTACGAGTCTTATGGACTAATTTCATAGTGTTTTACAGTGTGTTCTTTTCCAGTCCCCATCCACTTTCATTTAATCACAAACATTCTTTAAAATGTGGTTATTGAACACTTAAACATCTTAAAATTTGAATTTGGTTGATTTTCTAACCATTACAACAATTCTACTTTGTCACCATGTTTTCTTTCTTTATTTTACAGGATTTTGTGTTGATGACGAGCCAAGGAAATGAATTGCAGATGTGAACATTCAGGAAGAAAGTAAGTCAGATGCGTTTGGAACAATGTTGGAACATTTATTTAGACTTATTTAAATGCCACACAATTTGCGGAGGTGTTTTTTAATGTTAAATTGGTGGAGAGACAAAAACAAAACGTCATTTGTCAGTGTGAAACTATGCCCTCAATTTGAGGGAGTTTATTAAAACTTGGTGAAAACTCAATTAACATTTCTCTGCAACCGAAAAGTCCAATGGTGTGACATAAATAAAATTACTCTTTCATTGACAACATCTTTGTAATATTTTCCTAAGTATAATGGAATATTTCTCTGAAACCTGCTGCGATATACAGTATATAATGAAATTAAAGGGTTAGTTCACCCAAAAATGAAAATTCTGTCAGTATTTACTCACCCTCATGTTGTTCCAAACCTCTATGTGTTTATTTGTTCTGCTGAACACAAAGGAAGATATTTGGAAGAATGTTTTAATCAAACATATTTCATTCCCCATTGACTACCATAGTATGCATTTTTTCCTACAATGGCAGTCAATGGGGAATGAGATCTGTTTGATTAAAACATTCTTCCAAATATCTTCCTTTGTGTATAACAGAACAAATAAACACATAGAGGTTTGGAACAACATGAGGGTGAGTAAATACTGTTTTTACAGTGTTTTTTTTTTTACAGTCCCCATCCACTTTCATTTTAGCACAAACATTCTTTAAAATGTGGTTATCGAACACTTAAACATTATAAAATTTGAATTTGGTTGATTTTCTAACCATTACAACAATTCTACTTTGTCACTGTTTTCTTTCTTTATTTTACAGGATTTTGTGTTGATGACGAGCCAAGGAAATGAATTGCAGATGTGAACATTCAGGAAGAAAGTAAGTCAGATGCGTTTGGAACAACAGAAATGTGAAAATTAACAAAAAAAATGTATTTAGACTTGTTCCTCATCTTTAAAAAGCACAAATTGAGGCTTACAAATAACTGGGGCCAATTTTTGAAGATTTATGTAAAGCTTACATTAAAAAAATATACATTTAAATGATATTAAACAGGTTTTTTTACAGTTAGCAATTATTTTGGGGTTTATAAAGTTATGTTGTCAAGGCAATTTTGTTAAATTGGCAATAACATTACATTACACATAAAAGGTTAATAAGCAACTTCTATCTTTTTATAAATCATGTCAACACACGTCACATGGCTCTGAGTGATTTAATATTTAAAATTGGCCATATTCACTTCCTTTGAAATTGCCTCACTGTAACCCAGATTTAGTTTAGATATGATAGATGATGAGGGGAACCATAATTTTGCCATTTTGTATTGGAATAACACTGCACTCAAACAATCAATGTTAATGTCTTAACCATTACCTACTTTTAAAACCAGAGAGGGAAAAGTTAGGTTTGTTAGAATGTTATGAAAGCACTAACCCTCAAATCTGTTATAAAAAAATGTTTACAAGATATCCAGAAAAATGGTAAAATTGTGATACTTTGATCTTGCACGTATAAGTCCCTTAGAAACTACAGTGTTCAGAGCAGTTGTTCAGCTGTGTTACTTTTGCTGTATACCCTGTAAATCGGTTTTTCATGGAGACTCGTGCATGATGTGACAGTTTGACAGGCGTCAACATTTTGGCAGCTTCTTTACATTATTATTTCTTATGTTGGTTGTAGACGGTTTGTCTTACCTCCAGTGGGTTGACAGTGATGGAGAGAGAAGAGCCGTCACAGTCCGCTTGTTTCTCTAGCAGCGTGTGTGTGTGTATGTTGTCTTTGTTTATTGGTTGGTTAAGACGGTAAACACCCAGCAGCACCACCAGCAGGGCGGCGATACACACCACAACGACCGTGGTAGCAACGGCAGGCACAACTGGAAAGACAATAAGCGCATTTAAATCTTAGAGCCTATAGACTGTACATAGAGTAGATGTCATATTTAATTTAACGCCAAGTTGTGAGGGATGAACGTAAAATCTGTTTTGTATGCTTAGCCATGCTTTGCAGAGTTGTTAATCAGGTTTTTTCTATCAATTATACTTAAAGGTACAATATGCAAGATTTTTCGCCACCAGGAGTTGCTAACGTCTTACAATAACAAAGGCGTATATTGTGCGCCCGCTACCTTATGGCCAATAATGCTGCTTAAAGGGGACATATCATGCAAAATCCACTTTTTTAGCCCTTAAATGCGTTTTGTTGTATATTTGGAGTGTTTATAAGTACAGAAAAGATGAAATTATTCTCTTCAGGTGCTTCGTTTATATCTTTATATTCTGTTTTGGTCATATTTTTCAGCCTGTTCAGATTTTTCTGTTCTCTATGACGTTTTTTGAACTATCACGTCACCGTATTTGCAGCGGAACTCACAAATAAGGACAATGACTACCGGCCCAACACTTCGAGCAATCCGCTATTATTATTTCCCGCTCCGATTGTGTAGTCCAAGCTCAATGATGCAGAAGTTACAAGAGGGCAAGTCAAAATGTTCGGTTCTTGGATGTAGCGACCTGAAGCACTTCAAGGATTCCCACTTCAACAACCTCCGCCAGTATACAGAAGGGTTTGCCGATCGACTTCGTCTGAATGAGGGGTAAAGTCCTTCTATCATTTAGCTGCTGTGTTTTCTGATGCTTTTCTACACGTAAGATATTATATTATTATTAATACAGATTTTTAGTGGCAAGATTGGACCATAGTCATTTATCTTGTCAGTGTGCTTGTTTTCACAAGAGAAATAGTCGACTTTCACTAATAACACAACATATAGTTAACTTAACGTTACATACCCCTGCATCCATATGAAGACGTTGTTCTGCAGGTTCGTCGTCGTCTTTTTGAACTCGCTCACTCTGGCTCGTATATGTAAGGCTTGATGGACAAGTCTTCTGTTGTTGACATTTTGTTAACGAGTGACTAACAATGTTCTTTGAAGCTTTAGTATATAATCGTATATCTCTTATCAAACTACAATAATGGTCGAACGGGGGGAGTTGAACCGAGTGTGAACTCAGCGACCTGGAGAGCGGGCGGGGAAAGACGCAACTCCTTTTTATTTAAAGGGGCCGCTTTGAAACGGGTCGCTCACAGACGCACATCAGAAAAGGGGTAGAAAAGGGGCCTGTGGAGCTATAATAATGAGGAATTCAGACCCAAGCATTGCAGTTATGCTTTATATAGACCACAAATGTATGATTTATAAGTAAAAATGAATGATTTAAAAGCATGATATGTACCCTTTAAAATAGCATTATGAACAATGCACCAATGACTTTAGACCAGTTTTTTTCTGGTCAGTGGCGCAATTGTTTTCTGGAACTGCAAAATAGCACTAGGGGATGTTTGCGCTGAAACACGCCTCCTTTTTGCGCCGACCTGCCTGGGGAGCGCAATTTCATTTCCTAGTTTACCGACGTGCGTCAGTGGAGGGAAAAGCCCGCTTAGTTTGTGCGGGTGCAAAATAGAAATGATACATGCGTCAGTGTACAAAGTCATTTGCGCCGGGTGCAAGATAGAGCCCCAGGTGGGCCTTTATGATAAGTGGGCCCATTAATAATTCTTTTCATTGTAATATTTACCTTTTCATATTAATATAAACACAATTACAGACACTCACCTAAGCTGTAGTAGTTGTTAGATTCTATGACTTTAGGATGAATAATTTGCATGTATTTGGGCGGGGCCATGTCTTGATTGACATGTTCCACAGCTTCCTCACTGCGAAGGATGTTGACCTCGGAGAAAGAGTGATAGAGAGCAACTTTAGAGGTTTAGTTAGTGCATGCGGATGCAAAAAAAAAAAACATTCTTTGTTTGATTCTCACCTGTAATGTATACTGATCACTGGTGTAACGTCCGTTGAGCTCAGAACAGGTGAGTCTGAAGGTGCGGACGGAATCGACAGCCGGGCGGCTCTGATAACGCACCTGTCGAATCACCTCTGTGTAGTGAGAAATAGAGTCTACACCTTAAACAGAAGTAGAGGAAGAAAAATGTAAGGACATTGTATTGAGAAAGACAATAGTATGTTGTAGAATATGTGTCTTTACCATATATGGACATGCCGGTGCTAGAGTTGGCGTATTCCAGGTGTTTTCCCAATAAGGCGCTGTGTTGCAGTTCAAGACTCTCTTGCCCCGCCTTTAACTCCTCCCCCAATACCATGATGTCACAATAGTCCAGATTATGTGTGAGTTCCTTCAATACAACTGACCTGTGATCTGCACACATACAAAAATGAAACAAGAGAGTTAGGTTTATGAATAATAATGCCTCAATTCCCATAGTTTTCAAAAATAATATATATAATGTACATACGATGCCCTTTTTTTTTCTCAAATTTTTGTTCAACTATTGTAGTCTCTTTTTAAAATGAACCTATCCTAAAATGTGTAGCATTTAATATATCACTAAGGCTTCTGTATGCAAATGACCTCTATTATGATTGGCTAATCTACCAGTGTAGTTCAATATTGAATGTTGATACAAGTTATATCCTAATATTTACTAGAGCCAGACCGATATATCGGCAGGCTGATATTATTGGCCGATATTAGGCATTTTCTAAAATATCGGTATCGGCAGTTATAATGGCCGATAAATGAATATTTCTAAAATAAAATAAAAATGTACGAATCACGCTTCAACCATGTCATGAGTGTTGGAGTTGTATAGTTTGTCCACCAGAGGGCACCCTACACCGTCCCTGTTGGCAACACTCGTGTATAACGCGCCACACATTCTGCAACCTGCTGATCCAGCCAGAGTCGGGCAGAGAGAACCAGTTATGCATTATCATAATATTTTAGTTAAAACTCATAATTAACTACAAATAACTAATGTTAGGGAAATCTGTTAATATTTTGCTGCGCGTTTCTGAAATAAAAAATAATAATAATAATATCGGCCGATATATCGGAATATCGGATTTTAAAACCAACAAATATTCGTATCGGTATCGGCCTTCAAAATCCTTTATCGGTCGGGCTCTAATATGTACATTGTATTTTGAACATTGTACACCGTTCAAACGTTTGGGGTCAGTATGTTGATGGAAGAAGTCTCTGATTGCTCTGATCAAAAATACAGTAAAAACAAAGAAATATTGTGAAATGTTATTCTAATTTTTCAAGATGGCGAAACTACATGGAAGCCTCTGTGGACTAACCCGTCCCATGTACATAAACATAATAAATTCTTTGTTTACGAGGATAAGTCAGATAATTGGCAGAGGTATTAGTACACCATTGAGGACATATTTATGAATAAAAATATTGATTTTAAATAAAAAAATTACATAAAAAGTTACACAAAGTCCCTTTAGCTTTATCTGGAAAGAGTTGTTATAAACAGAAAAGCCCTAAGGATAATGAAGTGTTTCAGATTTAGAAAAGCATCCTCATGTCTTGTGTTCAGAGTGTGGAGGGAGCATCTTTCTTTTATGATTTATTAACATGTTTTTTTTTTTTGCATTTACTGTTGTTCTGTTGTTTCGTTTGCCACCAGAACAGCATGACACCTGTGCCGTATGTCAGTGAATAATGTGCTCTGCGCTGCATTTGGGGCAGTGTTTGTGTGTTGTTTGTTTGCTGCAGAAATAGTTCACCCAAAAAGGAAAAATCTGTCATCATTTCCTCACCCTCATGTCATTGACGTTCTTTCTTTTGAGCAAGACATAAGGTAAAATTTAGCAGAACGCTTGGCTGCTGCTCTTTGTCATATCCGGTCCAGCTCCAAAAATGATGATAAGTGAGCTATATTTCTCTGCTGAAAATGCTGCATTATCACATCTCATTCTCTGGTATATAAAATATGGTGGGTCAAGACGCATAATTAAGCAGAACAATATGTAAATATGAGGTTTGTAACAACACGAGGGTAAGTAAATGATGACAGAATTTTCATTATATCCTGTTAAGAGGAGAAAGGTGATTCTAGGAACAATTTTCTCTGTACCTGTGTTTGTAGGTCCGTCACTTTTTGTAACTGTGCTGATGATATGCAAATCTCTGAACAGGGATAGGCCTAGGGCAA